ACAGCAGCTTGATCAAGGGTGAGACAGGCCAATCTAGTAAACCCCAGAACCTGGACACCCTGCTTCTTACCATCTCCCTGCCCCCCGCATCCATTATTGCTCCCTCCCCAGAAAAGTGGCAATGAATACTGGAAGGTCTTAGCTGCAAGCAAGATGGTAAGAAAGAAGTTGAAAAGCCCAGAGTAGTCAGCACAGAGGATTGTGGCTGTCCATAATTGATGGAGGTCCAAACAGGTAAATCTGTAGCAGCAGAGACAGTGCAATAGGGAGAAGGGGTCCATTATGGAACATGACTAGGGCAGGATGTTAAGGGATGTCAGTTAATTTATTTACTTCCTCCTTCCTTCTCTTCCTTCCCTTTCTCCATCCTTCTGTCCCTTTTTCCTTAACCCCTTTCATGCTTTGCATTTAAGCATTCATGCCTTCAGCAAACATTTATTTAATGCCTGTTGTGTACCAGTCATTGTGCTAGGTCTTGAGAACACCTAGAAAAAACATAGGCTTGACCTTCCTGAGGCTGAGAATTTAGTGGAGGTGGGGGGAAATTCCCCAAATTCCCTCCTGGGTCAGTGGAACAGACAAAAAAAATTTAAGGGTAGGAGCCACACAGGTCACCTGACCACACACATATTTGTAGTCTGTTTTCAATGTAAAATATGAAACCACCCTGCTCTAGGCTTTCCTTGTTATCTTTTATGTTTCTGTTCAGTGAGTGGCAGGGCCTCCTTTCCTGTGGGTTTTTTTCAAATTCTTATCATATACGCCCTTCTGATACTTCGTTTTCATGCAGAAGTTGACCTGTTATATAAAAGGATATTATTGTTTGCTTGATGCCTTCCCAGAATATCTTCAGAAATTTTTATTAACATTCTAGGCAGGAAGCACAGTGGTTAAGAAAATTGATTCTGAAATCAGACAGATCTAGGTTGAATGTAGGCTCGTATATCTAACAGCTGTATGACCTTGGACAATTTGCTGTTTTGAGCCTCAATATCCTCATAGGTAAAAAATTTTATCTAACTCATAAGGTTGTCATATATATTAAATAAAATGGGATAGGTAAAGCATTTGATGCATAATTAACAATAAACCCAATAAATAGCTATTGTGAGTTGTCAAATGCCAAATTCACACATCCTGTGTTTTCTTCTAGTGTTTATCTATACCACTGTGTCTCTTGCCTTTCCACATATTTACTTAATGTCAGTTGCTCAATAAACTGTGTGTCCAAATTGTCCTGTATGTTGCTTCACAGAATAATTATTTAGGGGAAAAAGACCCAAGTTGAAACTAGAAAACCCCTATAGGCATGGAATTAGCAGCCACAAACAAATTGATCCCAATTGTGGGGACATAATCAGGAACAGTAATTTGGGGGAACACTGTGATTATTGCCTACTCTCAGAAATAAAACCCAGGAAAACTGCCGAACAGATGTTAAAAGTAAGAGTTGGGTTCTGGCAAATGGTGTCACTTCAGAATAGAGGTCCTCATACATTCCACTGGAAGCTTAAAAAAAAGTTGTGTATCACACATTTTGGTACTGTTGAGCAAAAAATGCATTAACAGGTTTGCAATGGAAAATGGATTCCTTGACATATGCCAATTACAACTGATTGATAGTAGCTGCTGGGAGAGCTATGATGAAGGCCTATGAGGTTTCATACTGCATCCATGATAAAGAATGCTGTGACCCATTAAAAATATCTTGCATGGATGGGCATAAGCATGGGGAATGTTGGTATGAGTATTCTGTGTTGCCATTCCTCATAAACACTGCTAACCTGGGGACGTTTCCAGTTTTAGTAATCCTTAAGATAAAACGAAAGTATCTACGTATCCTAAACTCTTTTTAGGCTTCATTAAATTATTTACTCATTTATTTATTCATTTCTTTTTGCACAGACTTATCCCTTTAACAAAAAATACTTCTGAATCTGTGTTCTGTTCCAGTCTGGAATTAATTCAACTCAGGAAAACGTATATTGATAACTAGACTTGAAAAATGGATAAATGGGGAAAAGCAGGAATAAAAGATTCCAAAGGAAAAGGTGAACTGGTAATTCAGTAGAGAGAAACCTGCTGAAGTAGAAAAGAATAAAGGTTGACATTATTCAAAAGAACATGCTATACATGGAGGACAGAAAATAGAGAGTTGTGCTCAGATTTACAGTTGTTCTGAGAGAAGGAACTGGAATAATTATAGAGAGTCATGCTAAAAAAATTCACAACTGGGAAGCTCTTAAGTTGAAAAAGAAAGAAAATAATTTGAAGCTCCTGGTCAAAGATATCACTTTGAAAAAAATTACTAATTTTACTGTTGATTAGTGCAAAGTTATGATCCTCTTCATATTTTTAAATGGTTGAGCAATACACAAATATCCCATGAAATGAATCAATCAAGGTGAAATTATTAAAGTGTTTGAGCAAGTATGTGAATCTCAATCAATCAATCTTTACAAAAAGAATTCACAGCAAATGCCAAATAAAACTTTTTAAAAGTAATATAGAAAACATAAAACATTTTTGTTTGCTTGTTTTATTTTTGACTTTCCCATCCACAATTTATCATGAATTGGATAACCATTTGATTGGAGAATTATGAAATGCACTATTAAGGTCAAATTTTTGTCATTCCCGAGAATTTAAAATGACGATACTGGGCTGGTTTAAGTGCTTACTTAAACCAACTTCTATACTAACAGCTGTCCATACTTCTCTCTTTTGTCTCTCACAGCAAGCGAGTTAATTGTTATAATCTTCAATTTAAGATAAAGGTATGAAGGTTTTGAGATTAATAGCTATAATTCATAACAATCAATATATTAATAGCTAATTAATATATTAGTTCTCCAACTGGAGTTGCTACAGCTAAGAAGAATGACCCCAGGTGGCAGGAGCTATAGGAAACCCAGAATGATTGTTAGTTAGGGCCATATTTCATCCTCAGAGCTCTCTTCATGGAAAGCAACCACTCACCCAGCACTGAACAAATTACCATTGCCAATTGGACATGCTGGGGAAAAACCATATTACCATACGGTTTAGCTCTTGGAAAATGAAACACTCTTCATCTGTACTTTATGCAGCCATATTCCTTAATTTTCTCTGTCTCTTGGTTCTCCCATTGGGAGTACAAAAGAATGTCTTCCAAACTCCCCAAGCGCAGAACTTTCCAGGCCATAGAAGAACAGGCATGTTGAAGCCATCCATTCAGCTGCTCATTTAGGAATTTATTTCCTGGTATATCTAGCTGGCTTTTCTCTGCCGTGAAATAACAGAGTCAATTCTCAGTTTTATTGGTATTTTAGTTTCTCAAATTGTGTGAGATCTGAAGAATTCCAAAATTATAGTACACCCCTCTTTAACCTTGCAATTTACACACTTACATGTACTTTTATCTTTAGAACCAGAAACCACGCTCCTTTAATTTGTTAGAATGTGTAGCTCAATAAAATACAATAGCAATTTATATGGAGAATTTTAAAAATTGTATTGATTAAGGGAACAAAAGGGACTGGTAAAACTTTTAATAACATTCAACTTTCTCTAAGTAGCCCCTCCCCCACCTTGATTTCACAGTGGCTTTGGAAAGAATTTAAATCTGATACCAAATCACTATATTAAATTTCCAAAGTCCCCAAATTCACCTTTAAATTCCTTTCATCCTTACCCGCTGGATTATGACTTTCATCCAAGAGTTCCCCCACATCTTTGTGGTCCCAGAATCAAGAAAATTCCTCTTTACGTTAGACTGATCTTTTGGCTGGTCAAATAAAGTTTGCCTGGATATTCTTCTCTAATCATACTGTTATGATCAGTTTGAAATGGAAATGACCAAACTTCATGGACTACAAGAGAAAAATATTCTCCTTAAAAAAAAATGAATACAAACAAAATGTAAATGACTAATGGGAAATGCTGCCCCAGGCCTATGTTTATAGACACAAACACAAACCCTGAAAACTGGGGCAGAGGGCTGGTTGAGAAATAAACAGTCCATCAGTTTTGCTTAAAAATAGTCTAAGAATTGGTGTGAATTCTTTTAAGTGCAGTTTTGGCTTTATATAGATGCGCCTATGGGGTTAGATATTTTCTGAGTACATGAAGTATTTACTTAGAGCCAATTGAATGTTGTGGCAGCAGTCTACACAAATAATTCATCTGCCAAATATTTATTGAATTCCTAGTGTGCATCAGATGGATATCATGGTAGTAGGCCTTGGAGAATTATCTTGATGAAGTCAGACCCCTTTTATATCTTGGTGGGCACTTAAATTGTGTTTCTAGATAAGTGACTGTGTTACGTTCCTTTTAGAGGAAAGAAGAGCTACATCTGTTTCATAAATGTCATAGTTTAATAAATAGTAATCAGTTTCAAATACACATGATTTATAGCAATGAGGTGGCTAGTGTCTTGGTGGCTCTAATGCTAAAATATCAAACTGCTCAACAAAGATAAGGTTTTAAGACATATCTCATCTCCAACATGCTCCTTAAAATGCAGGCAGTTTCCCTGATTTACACAGGAGGAGAGAGACTGAGACATGACTAAATAAAATGGTAAATAACAGAAAGTAATACATTTTCTGCTTTAGTGCTCGCATTTATATATATGAGTGTTTTTTGGTGAGACACCAATGAAACTCATTTCCAGTGGAATCCTTTTGCCATGCTTGAGGATGTGACTTGGGAGGGAGTTGGCAGTTTTCTAGTTTCCTACTTCTGCTCCTATTCAGCAATGTGTCTAACCACATCCACCCTGGGACAAGTCTATCTTCTCTGATTCAGACAAAATGCCCACATACAAATCTTTCCTGGAGTAGGAAGTGGCTTAACCGTCTGGTTTTCAAAGACATGTTGTGCAAGCAAAGTAAACAGGGAAGCTTATTGAATTAGTAAATTGAAATTAAGCAAATTATTTCCTAACCCTTAATAGTAGCTACCCAAGATGTCAACAAAGCAAGGATCAGTGTCAATAATATTAGAAGCAAGGCTAGCAGCGTTTATTACAAGACAAACAATCCAGTGGCAGAGAATAAATTTCTTCTAAGTTCCTGGATTCTAAACATCTCCATGAAAGGCAATGATTTTGTATCTTTCTCTGGGTCTTCCAAATTGGCAATTGGAAACAAAATTGCTATTAAATAATATTAATAAAAATGATGTTGATAATAATGATTTCTCTGTTGGGCCAATGCCAAATTTATCAGTCCCATTTGTTTCCCTCCACCCACATTTTTGCTGTAAGTGAATGGGTATTCTATACAAGAAATAATTCTCACTCACAAAGTATGTAATTCCATCCATAAAGAATCCCAGCTCCCTGCAGAAACCTGGGTTTACCGATGGTTGAGATGCACTGATGACGCCTCAGATTGTACCCTCTCTCTTGATTGAAAGCAGAAGGACCCCCACTCCTGCTTGGCCTCCTTACTTATGAACAGTGTCGATCCATTTCCTGTTCCCCTCTGTTAATTCATACCAGGACAGACACAAGATCAGAATGAGGCACCCAGCGTTTCGGCACCTCCTTGGAGCAGTGTTGATGGGAATAAGTGTTTGCAGACTGAAGGTTCCTGTTCAGGCTACCAGAGGGTGACTTTTCAATTCTTAGTTAACCAGTTCCAGCCCAGAAAAGTAGCCACTGTACACTAGCACTGCTCAATATTGTTGGGCTTTTCCCCCTCTTCTCTTGAAGTACTGACCACCCAACCATTATCACTCCCAATTTAAAATGAAATATGGAGCACTTCATCTGGGTTTCAAATGAGATGAAATTGTCTCTTTGTTCTGCTGAAATCAATCAGAATCTTGCCCACATGGAGGGTTTCAGGTTACCACAAGGAATGTGTTTCCAGGAGTGTTTGCTCTGAAATAAAAAAATGTGATAATCATTACATGGAGAGTCAATAATTATAAGCATTTCCTCTTGGAATCACAGAGAAAAAAATACAGGGAACGTATCAACCTCAAAAAAAAAAAATCATTGAGTTTCTCTCTGGTCCATTAAGGCACCTTGTTGGGGCCTATGGCCACACTTCCTTTCAATGCTGCTGCCTTTTAACATCATTTGTAACCCTGATTGAAGCTGCCACACTATTTTGCTAAAAGTAGTGCTGAATTTGTCCAAGTGCTTTTTTCTTAAAGTGAAACACTCTAGTAGAATCAAAGCTGAAAGTATCAAAAACATAACATAATATGTTGTGTGTCAGGTACATTCTAACCTGTAAGTGACAACTGATTCTAGTTGTAGATAAAGGTAAAGGTGCATTCGAAAATGAGATCTTCGTGGGCAATTACAGGCACCCTCTAATGTCATACAGTTTGTATATTAGGTGGTATGATCTGTATTTAAAAGAGGCATGATTACTGCTTCAGAGACAAATATTTCAAAATGTAGTAGGTTATTTTCCACCGCACATTCTTGTCTTTTTCACTAGTTCAAAGCAAATGGCCTAGCAGGTCGGGCTGATTCCATTTGCTTAACCCAAAATAGTCTTACCTTTTTAGTTTTTTCTTCAGCCTTTTAATGCCCACAATTTAAATACATTATTTTTAAAATGTCCTAAATAAAGGCTACTTGCACCTCAAGTTCAGATGCTCTCAACTGTGCTAGAATCCACCTTCAGGTTTCACTCTCCAAATCTCTGTCCCTGTTTAAGTCCAAAGGGATTCATAAAGCAAAATAACCGCAAGCAGGGACTAAATAGCAACAGGTTGATAGCCCTTCGTTGCTCTTGCTGAATGGAAGCCAAACACTGAAGGCTGCTTGCAGAATGATTGCTTCCACTGCTGTCTCATGGCTGTTTCACCAGAGGCACAAACTTCTGAATAGAACTGTGAAAACCTCACGTGATTCTGCTGTAGGAAAAACCCAGGACACTGTTTTGCACCCTCAGACTAAAAGTCCTACCTACTTTACCTATACCCCTGCCCTTAACTACATACAGATGAATCCCATATAGGATAACTGGTAAGCTCTGTTAGAACATGCAAATGAGTTAAAACCAAGGTTAGATGTGCTTTACAATAGACAAGCCTGTACTGGACATTTTCTATGTGTGCTTGTCCCTGCATGGGCTATCTCATTATATCCTCAGAAAAAAACTCAAAAGGCAGGTGTGTCTATCCCCATGCTAAAGATGTGAAAACTGAGATTAGCAAAGGCAGGCCTCCTGTTAGTGGCAAAGTAGGGATTTGCATTCAGCCCTGCCCCACTTCAAAGACACCCCTTTTGCCTAAACCAAGCAGCCAGTCAATTCTTAGCACCCATAGACACCCAGAAAGAGGAGGGCCTAGATAACGCCTAGTTAAGCCCATCATTTTAGACCTGAGGAATCTGAGGTTAAGTGACTCCCCTGAGGCAAACTGAGTTAAGACCAGATGCAACTGGCCCTGCCGGTCACTAAGCAGATAGTGCCACTTAAGGACAAACACAGTTTTAAGAGATGTGCCTGCTAACCCAAAATGTGCTCACTCACCACCTTTCCTGAATCTTGTTGCTGCCAAAATTTCCCAACTGCCTTCTATGCATATGGATTGATTTTTCCTTTCTGAATGCATTTAATAACTTAGAGTCATTTCCATAAGGCTTCATAGTTAAGAAATTAGGCTTTTGAGAGGAAAGAAAGTAGTAAAGTTCTCCTTTAAAATATGGCCATGGTGATGATGATTTATGTAATATTTTTGCAGTAATCTGCTTGACTTTAGTCAGTAAAGCTTCGTTACTTATCTCTCCTAAAGACTCTTTCACACATCTTATCACATTTTATTCTTTAAAGGAACACACGAGAAAGAAAATTTGCAACGAAACAAACCTTGGGACTTTCTACCATGTTTGTGGATTTTGATTTTCTCTTTTAATTTGTAAAACGGTGCTGAATTTGGCAAAATTTCTCTTTTAATTTGTAAAAATTTTTTACTGGTAAAAAATCTGGTAGAAGTAGGAGAGGGAGTAAGAATATGCTTAGGGAAGAGGGAGAAGAAGAGAGATGGACATGAGCTCTGTGTAGGTATTTGCATGAGAATTCGAATATAGGGGAATGGACCCCAGATTCCCCTATATATTAACTCCTGATAAATATCAGAGTTTAGTAAATTAATGAATGAGAACCCAGGGACAAATGGAGATTAAATATGGCTCAGCAAGCAAGAGGCAAGCTGATGGGACAGAACGTTACAGAAATGTGCCATAAAAACTGGAGCTCCAAAAAAATCTGTCTGCAGTGGCAATTCACACCGAGGGTCTCTGGAGACCCTTTAGGGGCACAGATGTCAAGAGTGCCCTCTGTTGTCTACCAGCAATACTAAGAAGCTTCAGGAAACTCATCCCTGCTAGAATTTACACTTCTTTGCCTACAAAGGTTTCTGTCTTGGCAAAGGGTCTAAAATATGGGTTATGTACTAGAATGAGAACTTATTGAATCGAATATAGAATATTGGAGTTTGGAGAATCTTTGAAAGTCACCTGATAACAGTTCTCCCAGTATAGGTGGGGAAAGGGAGGCTGACTAAAGATGAAGTATCTCACTTGAGAAATATCCAGTTAGAGGCAGACCCTTGTCTTGAACCAAGGACTCCAAGTCTGTTGCCACATCTTATGCAGCCTCCTAACCCTTATTTTTGCTTTCTTCATTCTCTTTAAGGATGGATGGATGGATGAAACAGAATAACAGACTCATGGAATGCTTGAACAGAAGGTACTCCATATTTTCCTAATAGAAAATTGAAGTCTCTGACTTACCAGAAGTCCTTACCTTAAGTCACTTAAGAAAGGTAGATCCCAGACTCCACATTTAATTACTTTTGTACAAAATTATTAAGGGAAGGTGAGGAGAAAGGGGTAAAATTATCTCATTTTTCCTTTATAAGATGCTGTTCTCTCCTCTACTTCCATGTGTGCATACCCTGTCCTCCTCTTCACTCTTTATGCTTAGGCTTACAAGCTCAAGCCAGGCACTTAAACATGACCATGTCATTGAAAAGCCAGATGGGAATTCAGGTGCAACCAAGAGGAGATGGCCCAGAGCACTGGGATGAGGAACTGGAGGGTGAGAAGCAGGGATGGTGGCTGTCATTCAGGGGTGAGATGACAGTCAGGTGATTGGGTACCACTGTTGGGTTCAAGGTTGGGCCCAGGCAGATGCCATGTGGGACCCTTGCCCAAGATGAATATCAGAGGACTTCTCTGTGTTACGGTACAAAGTGGCAGAAAGGAAGGAAAATGTCCCAATGATATTCCCACTTAAGCAATAATGTTCCATGCTCTGCAGGGACTGGGGAAGATGGGTCTCCTCAAGTGGCTGCTGCTCAGAACTACCACCACTGTGGGCTGCATCACACCTTGTGTCTGAATTCCTCAGCCCAGCTGATTGACACTTATTTCCTTATACTAAGCCTTAGAGCCAATGTCACTGTAGAATTGATTCTTCCTGAAGTGGATGGAAAGAGAAACAGGGAAGCGTAAGACTTCTGAGGGCTTATTGTTAAAGGCACTTAGCTAGGTGTTTTCCTATGTATTACTCTTTTTAATCTTCACTTTTTCCCCCCATCAGGTAATGCTATTATCCTGAATGTTCAAATAATAAAGCTGGCACCCAGTGGGGTAAATTACTTTGCCCCAAGTCCCACAGTTGCATTTGAAGGCAGAGAGCTCTTATTTGAAACCAATCCTTCCAAAATCTATGTCACCTCTTTTTCTTTGAGTAAAGACAGGTGGAAGCTGGATGGCAAGCTGGTGTGGTTAGTCTACCTGACCCCATCACAGAGTCCCTGCCTCTTATCCCTCTCCTCATCCCTGGCTTCGGACCACCCATCCAGTCTGTGAACAGCTCTGCCTATCTTGGTGGAGAATATTATGCTCCTTTGCTTCTAAACAGTGTATCTGGGTTTCAGGACACAGAGAAGTTCTCTGATATTCATCTTGGGCAAGGGTCTCACATGGCATCTGCCTGGGCCCAACCTTGAATGCAGTCTATGGTTTTCTAAGTGTGCAGCTTCTTCCTCCAGTTCTTCTTTACCTGGCTGACATCTTGAGCCAGGCTGTTTTACTGTGTGGAAACTCCCCCTGCCCCAGAGATTAATTCAACCACTGAGAAGGAGGTCAGTTGGAATGTCAAGTGTGTGGCTCTGGACCATGAAGTTTAGGGGAAAGCCAGTTACTCTGGTGGACAGGCCTGATACACAGGACACATGGGAACAAATGCCACTGTGGATGCTAGTTTAATGTCTTAAGTAAGAGACACTAATTCCTGAGGCTTCCTACACCACCTATAGTATGGGCCTCATACTGCCTTTCAGACTTGTCCCAGGATTAAGTAAGATAATCGTTGCAAACTGCAAAGGACACACAGTAGGAGTTCAGTAAGTAGGAACACCCCCTTGGTACTTCCTAGCAGACAGAGACAGTGCCTCAACTAACTGACAAAAACAGCCATTTTTTTCTAGGTCACAAAGATGATCATATCTATGTTCTCCATGTTTTATTTTCCTCCAGCATCTCTCTAGAGACATCTGTACCCAACAGAAATTAGATGCACAGATCCTTTTTGTTCCTGAGAGGCTTTGCAAACAGTTTACTCTCAAGTTAATCCCAGACCCTGGATTTCTCATGCAGTCTTCAGACTACCCATATTACAATAGAAAACCCACTTGGGAAATTGGAGCTGACAAGTCTTGAGCTGATTCCTCCACTAATTTCCATTCCTGTGCCATTTACTAAAAGTGATACAGGTGGGTGGAAATCAGGTGACGCCTGCTTCTCAGAAGTAACCAAAGATGCCTGCACACCTCTGTGTGTCACTCGGCCTATTCTTCCCGGGATGGTGAATGCAGTCAGGTGTGGGGCCTGGGCTTGTAGGGATACCCAAA